AGGTTTCTCAATTTGTAATTTTCACCATATTTTCAAAAAGAACAGTGACCATTTTTCTCCTCCGCTCACTGTTCAAATTCAAAATTAAACCACAACCGATAGGTTTCACCTGCACTGCAGGCAGCTGAAGACATGAGTAACAGATGGAAATACCTGCTTGCTGTGCAGTCTGTGGGATCTGTTGACTCCGCTGTGCATTGTACTGAACTGAGGCAATGGGTCTGTACTGCTGAGTTGTTGAGGTAGGGTACTGACCAGATGGGTAATAATACACTGGCATCTGCAAAGAAAGAGAACAGCAGTTAACTATGGATTCTAAAGCTCAAAGATTCACAAAATAAAGCAAAACTGGAAGGGGAACAAGAGTTCAAGTCAAATATATTAGTGGTAACAGTAATCAAGAGGAGAGGTTTGCATTGTGTCTCTTCAAGAACTGCTGCTTGCATTCAGCTTTGCTAGGAAAACGACTATCAGTGCCCAAATTTCTTCTCAGATACTTTAAGAAACAGAAGAAAAAGAATTTTAATTGAAAGAGACAAAAAAGTACAGGATGCATAGAAAGCTACATGCATATACTGAAAAAAACACAGTCAAATAACAAATGTTGCAGAAAAATGGAGGCAAACACCACTTTCCATATCAACATAATCCATATAGACAGCACGTTGAACAATTAAGTGAACTCTGGAGAAAACGGTCAATTCAAAGCAAAGAATAGCCTGCAGTAAGAATATACAGAAGCGAGACAGAGGGAAAGATGGAACGTGTGTGCCCTTAACACTTGTAAGAAACGATTATTAAATTCACGCTTTTGTTTAACAGCTACATCCTTCCTCACGTGAGCGTTTCCCTGTAAAGCCTCTCTTGCACTTGGTGTGAACACAATTACAGTTAAAAAAAAATAAATCACCGTTGTTTTCTTGCAGGAGCTGAGAGCAGGCATCGAGTCAGCAAGTTCTGCAAGGTGGCCTTCTTTTTTCTACTATTATGGTCATTATAGAGCAACGTGAACTACATCACCTTATCATGTAGGTGAAGTAGGGGTGACTGCAGCTAAAGATTTTTCCTACATGTGCTATACCACTGTTACTGAGACATTTGAGCTAAATAGTTTTCAACTGACCCTTGTCAAGTTCAAAGCACTCAAAATTTTTCATTTTCAGCAGCAGTGGATGCTGTAGGTACCTCACAGAGTTCGGCAGTGTATGGTATGAACAAACTGCAGGACACAGGCCTGGGAGCGACACAGGCTTCTCTTGTGACTTCTGCCACATCTGTCAGCATTTCTTTATAAATCATACAGCATTTTTTTTTCCCTTTGTGTGTAGCATTTATCCTACTCGCACATATGCACAGTCATACTAAATGTTTTTTTTTTTTCTCATACAAAAATAAGACCTATTTTTGCCACTTTTGTTTGCATAGAGGAAATGTTCCTGGAACAGCTCATTCAACTTGATCACCCATGAATTATTAGGAAAGGTAATTGCACCTTTTTGTATACTGCTAGGACATCATAAGACAGATTAGAAATTTTCCTAGCGACAACAGCAGATGAGAAGGAACAGGCACAGATACAAAAGACTAGGCAAGAAGAGGGTATGGATGACTAATTGGGCAAGTGGAAGACTAGTGAACGGGTAACTGTGGTGGGTAAAGTAGGATCAACAAAGCTGGATGTGGTGGTGTTGGTGAAGTGAAACCCCCAATTGACTGACAGTCAATATCACCTGTCAATCAAGAGGCTGAATACCCATTCATTCTTCAAGGTCTATTCATCTTCTTTTCAATCAATAGAAATCTCTCTCCCTCCCAGAATAATGTCAGTCAGATTCAAACAAATACCAGATAAACAAGAACATTTTGATTGGAAAATGTAAGCTATCCTCCCTTCAGACAATACCAAGTGACACCTAATGGCTACAGTCTGCCCTGGAGTCATTTTTTTTGTTAAAAACTAAAGTAACAAAAGCAAAATGCCTTTGTCAAATGGACAAAACCATGATGAATTTGTTTCTCTGCAAAGAAAAGCCACAAGGTATAGGAAAGTTGACCCCAGACATTTAAGGTGCAAAGGCAGTCTTTAAACATCACAGCAGCGTAAATCATCGATCAGGCAAGTTTCATGTGACCAACTCATCTTGTGGCAACCTGTATGCTCTAAGCAATACTCTACTTAAAAGAAGCGAGAAGATTCAGTCTAAGTAAAGTCAATGCAAATAGTTGATCCTGCCTCAGAGCCTGGGAAACGAGTAGACATCCTCTCAAATGTTCTTTATTTTCTACTACTGTATTCTACAAATTAAAGAATATTAAACCCCTGTGGAAATACTCTCACTTCTGGCAGTAGCTTAATCTCACTTAAAGGATTTAAATTTATTTGCTTTACCCTCATCTTCCCCATTTTCCTTGTGCGCACAAGTCCCTAGATATTTGAAAATACACGAGCATAGGAGAACAATGTGAATTATCTCCTGTGGAAAGATTCTGTAGGTATTAACTTTATAACATAGCCTAAATGATACAGGTTTTGAAATGAGGTTCATAGTTGAACGTGCTTAACACAAAAACATATACGGACACAGAGGCATTCAGAGTAATTTGGAAACACATATTTATTTTTACCAGGTAGATAACACCTCAGAGTCAAAGGGTTTTCTCCCTTTCTCTCATTTTCTCAATTCAATGGAATACATTTGTTATATACTCCATTTAGAAGCTTGTAAGAGTGCAATCTATCAGTCTGAAAAGTAGAATGAGTATTGGGTAAAAAATAAATCATTTCACTTAGAAAGATTAATAGATGTATTTGCCAGTAATTATGACACACGGCTTGCAAAGAAGAGGTTTGAATTTTGGTGGGGGCTTTTTTTGTTTTGTTTTTGTTTTTTTAAGAGATCAGACCTTAAAATAAGGGCTTGGTGTAAAATATAGACATGGATATGTGGTTGAGGAGCTTGGAAGGATCCTTTTTCATTTATCTTGAGTACATCTCTGTGTCACTAGTTGAAACATGTTATTTGTCCTTTCTGATATTACTTTAGCGAACAGTAGAATTAGAGGAATCAGAAATAACAAGTACCACTTACATCATGTACTCTGACCCTCTTGAATTTTTTAGTTTCTCACTACATCAGTGTTACTAACACCTTTGCTTATGTGTTCTTCAAAAAAACCCCATTACATTGCTGTAGCAGTGTACTGACATGCCAAATTATAATTTAATTGATTTCCCATGTGAATGCACAATCTAACCTTGGACCTTTCACTTGTATAACATATTTCATTTACAGAACCAGGAAGTTTCCACAGCACTAACAAGCATGCCAACAAAGTTATATGGTTATCTTAAAAACAAACAAACAAACAAAAAAACAAAACCAAAAAACCCACAAAACCCCAAAACCAAAAAAAAACCCCGAAGCCTAAATAAATGCTGCTGCCTTTCATCTAAAAGCATAGTTTCTTGATCTTAATCTTGACACTGTGAAAAATCTCCCCTCTTTAATAATTACCATGGAAATAGTTGACAGATGATCCTTATCTCCTTGGATATTCTTATTTTGAAGGTGAATACCTTCTTTGTTTATAGGCTGACCACTCCAATACATTCTATTTTTTTTCTTTCATATATAGCATTTTCTTTATTTAAGTTAAACTGCCACAAGACTGGGCACGCCACTTCAGAGACACTCATGAAATGGCACGAACAGGCATTCCTTTTTCCTCCTTCAGATGTGGTTTGTCTCTACATGATGGGCAGAGATTCAATAAAGCACTGGCTTTCTGCTTTGTTCTGCCCACATACAGTTCAAAACCCACTGCCAGGCTGGGTCTCCCTTGGATTGCTCTAGAGCAGCTTCTCTTAAACTCACAGGTATGTCGCTTACTTCTTTACAGTAGGAATAGGATTCCATGCATCTTTCAGGCTGATTTTACTTTCCTAAACTATCTCCCTGTTGACTTACAACTCTATTCTGCCATCAGACAGGTATTCTACCTTCTCTTCATATTGCTGATATCCAGGTAGGTTTGGATTAACACCTTCATCCAGATGACTAGTGATGCTGACACTAGTGCTAACGGCAGCTACAGTTGCTTAAATGGGAGCGAAGAGAATACAAACCAAGCCACAATGATACATGGAGGTACCATTTCTTCCCAATACGTAACTGACTGAGATCAGTCATTCTTCAAGGATTTTTCTCTTCCTCCCCTCCCTCCATACCACAATAATTACAATAACAGTAACACAAAACAATGGCTTGTGTACAACAACTGTAGGGTGTCCTCCAATATAATTTTCTGAGATCATCAAGGAAAGACCCACTCACTTGCAGTGACTTCCCAATCTTTTTCATAATAAGTTTCCTACAGGAGACATGTTATGAAGAAAGATATTGTCTTAGGGTGGACAATAGCTATGGACTCTCTAGGAGGGAGCTTATGCAAAGAGACAGCTAAAATTAATGATGGCAACATTAATTCAGGCGAAAAATCCCTCAACACATATATTATTTCTGCAAGCCCCTCTGAGAATTCATGCCATCTCATTTTTGGATATCATTTTGCTAATACAGCTTCCAGAAAGAACGAGTCAGAGGTGAAAATAACTTTTAAGGGAGCATATCCTTTCCCACTGGCACAGTACTCGCAGTTTTCCCATTTCTCCATTTGCAGAGGCAGAGCAATGACAAGCACCACCGAGAGAGTGCTACAAAACTGAATGCAGACCCTTGTTAAAGTGCCTGGGCCCATAAGTCCTAGAGAAGAACCACTGGAAAGAGAAGAAAATTGGAGAGAGAAGAAAATAGAGAAAGTAAAGATGTATGTTTGCTGTTTATGAAATGGGCATTTGTTGTTAAAAGTCCCTTTCAGCAAACTCTGACTAATGGGTGAAGTTTGTTTTTTGGTTTGGTTTATTTTCCAATTGGCTGAACAAAGACAAATCATTATTTTCAGGTTATTAAATCATGACTCTGTTGTCAAGCTGGGGAATAGCTTTGATGAAAGAAGCAGCAAAAGAAAGGTAAGAGGTCCTCTCACCACTTCTTAGGCATGTCATTTCAAACTCAGTCTGCTTCTGCTTTGATAGAGACTGGGAGAGAGAATCTTGGAGAGCAGCTGTAGAGCCACGTTTAATTGAACTTTAATACAAAAGCTAATAATTTAAATGCAGTACCATTAGGTTTGTAGGCTTAGAGAACATTTCTTTCTTCTCTTTTCAACTCCCCAAAGAAACTATCATACTCACAGGACCTCCACCCAGTTTTTCACTGCTATTTTCCAACAGCACACAGGGCACCACAGCCAACCTACTAGAACCTTATCAGCAATGCATTTACAGAAACTTCCTAGCCACTAGAGCCAAGCCACTTTTTTATTGGAATAAATTCTATAGCAACATTTGAGATATAAAAGTGCTTTTACATTGATTGCATAGCATTGATTAATGTATCACATAATGTTTTGCATGTATTACTGCCTTTATTCCTTTTATTTATTTATTTTAAGCCTGCCTCTGATCACCTCAGATCTTTGGCATCTGAGTGCAGCCTTATTATTGCACTGAAGCCCAAAAGAGTGACAGGCAATTCAGATTGCCTGTAGCCACTGCCACTTTGAAGATTTACCAGGGGCAGGTCAGAGAGTCATCAGACTAGAGTCAGATCTAGCTGCCCTGCACAGAAAGCCGAGCTGTTAGGACAGAGGAACTACTAATTCCCAACGCTTCACTCATCTTTTTCTAAGAGGGATCCTCTGTTTGCTGTACACATGCAACATTCTAGGGCTGAAGAAAATGAATTAAAACTTGAACTGTTGATCAGAACTTCCCACCTGTGCATGTGGATGCAGAGAGCTGCTGCCCCTCTCCCTCCCGGCAGGCCAAGGCCATGGATATTTCATGGTAAAGGAACATAGGCAGCAGGGACTGACACCCCCCCTCTTCCACCCAGGTATCAGACACAGGTTTCTGGAACAGGGACAAGCTGGAGAGGAATGGTACGCACAGTGCAGCGAATGCAGAGGAAGCTGACAGCGCTGAATTTCTCACCTTTCTACACCCCCTGAGGACAAACCATTCCCCAGTGAAATAACTGCAGTTGCTGCAAACCCCAAAAGTATTTTTCTGTAACCTTCCACTTTGTTACAACATCGGAGAAAACCACCCATACATACCTTATGTGGGGTACGGACAGAGACACAGTGGCCATTAGACACACCGGTACGGTACTGGTCCTACAGCAGCCGATACATGAAAAGGCATCTCCTCATCACTTGTCCTCTACAGAAGTTCATCTGCCTCTCCAGTAGCACCAGAGCAAGTATTAATGTGGGAAAACATGAAGTAACACGATGCCAGAATAAGCAAAAACCCTGCACCTGCTGCACAAAGAATCCTAGATTTGCCCAGATTTGAAAAGACCTTTAAGATCATCTAGTCCCATCATTAACCTCACACTGACAAGTCCCGGACTAACCCATGTCCCTCAGCACTGTGTCTACATGACTCTTCAATCCCTCCAGGGATGGGGACTCCACCACTGCCCTGGGCAACCCCTTCCAATACCTGAGAACCTTTTCAGGAAAGCAGGAAAGAAATTCTTCCTCACATCCAATCTCAACTGCCCTCGGTGCAACTTGAGGCCGTTTCCTCTTGTCCTGTCACTTGTTCCTTGGCTGAACAGAGGGCGAAACCCAGCGCTCCCGCCCCAGGTGATGAAGGCTCAGCCACGAGCTGCGGGCAAACCTGCAGAAGCAGCTTTTGCAAAGTCAACCTTGGGGGGTGTCTAGCAGAGACCCCAGGGTGGGCTGCAAACCTGGTCTCCCCCAAGGTGGGAGAGGAGGGGGTGCGGGGTCCCTCAGCATGGCAGGGAGGGCGATGCTGCAGCCCCCGCAGCGAACGCCAGCCCGCAGGGCTGGGAAACGCTTCGCCTGCTGTGGTGACAGCTTGTAAAATGGAAGCACTCGCATTTATCTGTTTCACCAGAAGTGTTGTGAGGTTTGATTAAATGATGCTTGAAAACACTGACGGCACCGGGGGGGGGGTCCTACATGAGGAGAAAAGCCTGGACAATCTCTACTTACTCACTTAGGAGACATGGTCTAGATGGCGAGATGGATTCATCAGGGGGTTCTGCTCTTCAGGTCATTTTTTCCTCCCCATTTTTTTTTTTTTTTTTTAAATCCTACATTTGGCAAACAGTTAAATCTTTTTCTAGTAATATTTTCAATTTTTTTTTTTTAAAATCAGATTATATTGAACTTCATCTCCTTAAAAATTATTTTTTAATTTTTAGCTTTAGCAAGCTTTCTCTTCTCTCAGAAAAAAAGGCTGCATAATTTCTAAGTAGAGAAACTATGGATGTCACAGTCCTCTATGGGATGTGAGCATCCAGCAGTCTTCAGATTTCTTTTACTGTTAATGAGTGATCTAATTAACTAGATCTCTAGCCCAATCTCTATAACATTGTAATGGTATAAATTCTTCATTACTGTGGCAATACAGAATCCCATTAACAAACACAATTGGAGATTTTCAGTAAGAAGCAGCAAACAATAAAAACCAGTAGGGTTTACACTACTTTTACATTAAAAGAAATGGTGAAGGTTTTTTAACTTCCTTTTTTAATATATTTTCTTCCAAAGGACAAAACGAAAACAGGAGAAATACTATTAATATAATTTTAAATTAGAGTTTAAATGAAGTTATCCATAACTGGATAAAGAAATTTGGCTTTTTAAAGTGTATGCCTTGAAAATGAGCCAGAAAGTCATCTGTGCATTTTACTTCTTGACAGTAATCACTTTCAATATTCTGTAAAGGTACTCAGGAGACAAGTAGAGATGTTTGGTAGTGAACAGTAAAACATAATCAGTCTTCAGGAAGACAGTTAAAATTACTGATATGTGACATCTCACATGTTCAAGTCAATTAAATATGATTAATGACTACCTGTGCTGATGTGCATGTTGCTCTTTTGGTGTATATACACAGGGAAAAAGGACTACAGATATTTACTCACTCTCCTCCTTCATATTCATGTGTCCTGGAGTACAAACATAAGTTCAGAAAATGGTGTGAGGACAGGGAAGGAATTGCTGAAACCCAGGAAACTATAGAGGCTTGCAAGTTTCCTGCTGCCTAAAAATCTGCTAAACTTTTACCAAGGGAAAACAAACAAACAAACAAAACAAAAAAAACCCTAAAAAAAAATCTAGAATCTGAATTTTTAATTTAATTTTTTTTTTATATATATTCTCTTTCTGATGTTATCACGAGCACCATGCCAAACTGGGTAGCGAAGGCTTTGCCTACCTGAGCAGGTGGTGGTGGTGGTTGTTGCACAAAGCCCTGGGGCGGTGGCGGCTGCAGCACTTGCTGGGATACTGGTGGACCTGAACCTGTAAAGCCTCCTGGGGGAAGCTGCTGACTTGGAGAAGCCATAAGGTAACCGGTCTGCTGTGCAGGCTGCGGCAAGAGAGGCGATGGGTAGACAGGACCAGAAGGCGATTCGGGGTTGTCTCCTGATGATTGACGACTTAAGCTCATCTGGTTAAACTGTGTTGTCATGTCATCTCGCTGCAGGGCAAAAGGCAGGAGGAAAATGATGTAGGCATGATGTCTGCAGCAGACGCGTGAATTAGCAAAATAAAATAGGTTCAGGCAGAGCATGAGAGGGAAAGGAATCACTCAGCTCAAAGAACCGGCAGACTTTGCATGGCTAGCTACAAAAATGGAGGCAATTAAAATGAAAATCACTATAAATGCTTTGACAAAGACTTCCAGGCTGCAAGGTGAATGGCATCGCTTGGCACAAAAGCCAATCATTTTGGCTTTTACCCTGCCCCCCCCACCCCCAACTTTTATTCCAAAATGACAAGTGAACTTTACAGTGTTCTAAAGAAGACATTTTAAATATAAAGGGCATGAAAAATAACGATATGAATACCTCTTCCCCCCAGACACAGAATTCCTCAGGCAAACGTGTGCTGGTAATTTCACCTGTGTTTCAAAATGATCCCAAGAGGAATTCAAGTAGGATTCAGGTGCAGTCCTTTTTCTTTTGGACTCTTTTGAAAATCCAAGGTTATAAACATAAAGAAGGTAAAAAAAAGCTAAACCTTCAGTTCCTATTTCAAGTCTTTTTATTCAGTGTTGGAAAGAAAAAAGTACTTTATTTGACCGTAGGGCTGGGGCGGGGGTAGGAGGTGGAATCTATGCTAAAATGAATGTACCAAATAGTCAATGGACCTAAGTTCCATTATATGCTGGTAATGATATGAGGATTCTAGACAGTCTGTTCAGCCTTGCAAAAAAATCCATACTAATCAACGTGCTCAAGTTTATTCTGTGAAGGTCGAAGATTTACAAATGTGGTTCTATGCATCTTCATTTGTACCTATAAGACTTTAAATACTCAGTATTAAAGGGTACTCTGTACAGCAATAAATCCAGCATAGAACTCCATCGTGTGCTAACGTGAAGATTACAGTCCGTTCCTTATATCCCCTCACAGACAGCGAATAAACATTCGCTTTTCACTTAGAACATCCATGCTCTCTTTTAAAAGGAGCCTCTTTGATTTTGTTCACATCTCTTTGGTGTTCATTCTCCAAAACCTTCATCCTTCACAATGTATTTACTGGCAGGAAATTTCCAAGTAGAAGGGAGAAAAAAGAAAAAAAAAAAAAAAAAAAAAAAAAGAAGAAAGAAAAAAAAAGGTTTGTTTGTGGCAAGTGCTGCCAGAGACTGCACAGAGACTCACCCTCCCACCCACGGGCCAACATTTTAAACACTCCTGGCAGATCTTCAGGTGGTGTAAGAAAGTAATGCCGTTAACTTTCCCATCATCCTACATCCATATTCAGGCATATCAGTTGTCTGTCTGAAGTTGTTTCTTTCGAAAGCTAAAGTATTCGTTACCTGGAGGGCAAATGGCTGCAAACAGATTCTACGAGAAACTTCACTGAGCCTGGAATGTCTCTGGTTTTGTGCAATAGAGACTCAGAGCTTCAAAACCTTATAATTCATACATTATGTGGGTAATGTAATGTACATTGAAGACAGTAATTCAGGTGAAGTTTCACTACTAAATTAGCCACTAAAAATATCATCCTTCCTACGACTATCACTCAAACACCCTGAGATGCCTGCAAGACGCTTTTCAAGAGAATTAGCACTGAGATATGCAACTGCTGTTCAGCACGGAACATTTTTTTTTATTGTCCTTTAAATGGTACTGCTCATCTGCCAGGCATTAATAACGTTATTTTAGCTGCAAGGATCCATTCAGCTTTGTTTCCATCTCTTACTATAATTATGTGACATCTCTACCTTGGGAAAAAAAAAAAAAAACAAACCAGTCATAAACAAGATTACCAGAGCAAGAGAGAAAAATAACAGAAAAAAAAAATAAATCTTGTAGTGCCTCTTAAAATATCAGCTTCATTTCACAACAGTATAATCTCAGCCCTGTAAGCACCAAGCCTGATTCAGACTCCAGAAGAGCACTCTATTTATTTTTATTATACATGTCCATTGGTGCTTTGTCATGATACATAGCATACCACACCTTCTGCAGCAGCTGCTTCAACACTACTCTGTTTTCCAGGTGCTCTATCATCAGGGAATAAATCCAGGCAGTGGATTTAGTATAGTGAGAAAATAATAGAAAATAGAAAATATTGACTTCTAGAGGTCTCTTCTCCAGTCTTTGTGGACATAAAAGCGGGATAACCCAAATCTCAAACACTCAAGTTAGCAATTGAAGCTCTCTCCACATAAAAAGGAGAGATAAGCTCCTATCACAGGCACAACGAACCATTCCTCTGGAGGCTCTGCTAACCAAGTAGACCAGCATCAGTGGGCACACTCTTCCAAAATGCTTGTCAGTACCCAAAGTGTTAATGCAAAGGGGGATTTAGATGGGGCTCTCACGTGGGATGCTGCTCCCAGTTCTCCCGGAGGAAAGAAGGAAAGAAGGAAAGAAGGAAAGAAGGAAAGAAGGAAAGAAGGAAAGAAGGAAAGAAGGAAAGAAGGAAAGAAGGAAAGAAGGAAAGAAGGAAAGAAGGAAAGAAAAATCTTTAGTACCACAGAAAACTGTTGCGTTGGAGAGACTGGCAGGAGATGCTGGGGAGGATAAGAAACTGCTGGATACTGGACTGACTGAGAAGATGGCTGCATTGTCTGAACAGGCTGCAAAATAAACACAGTGAAAGACAATAAATACAACCTACTTAGAGATAGATAACAACAACAGCAAACTCTGTTTCTGAGAACAAAGATCACAAACAAAGCTCTGAAAATGCGGTTGACTCATCGCCAGTCCAAATACAAGAGGTCAGGTACTGCAATTTTAGTCTTCATTTTAGCCTTATACCAAGCAATTCTTTAGTACAGATTTTTCTGCCTATTTTCATATATTTGATGTCTGTTAGATTAAATAAAGCCACAGCTACACCTTCTTATTATGGATGTGAGCCAAAGCCAAATTATGATTCTACATTTAATTTACAGAGATAAAATGAAAGAGCAGCACAGTGTAGGTGTATATTTGAATTTCACTGATAATGACTGATTTAACTCAGAGTGTGTCATAGGCAAAGGAATAATGATTTTAAAGCTGCTTTGGCAAAACACAATAGCTAAAAAAAAAATAAATGACAAAGAACAGGCTGTGAATTAACAGCAGAGACAGGCCTGTCAGCTTGGAGCAGATGTTTATCTAAGTGAAAGAACAATTTTCTACAGCACTATTACCTTGGAATAGCTTTACTATTCCTTTTGTTTTAATCTCTCATTTAACTTGAGTGTTACAGGTTTGGTACTACCCCCATCTTCTAAAACTGCTAAAATGAAATCAAGAACTAAGAGCCAGAAACATGTAAGTCCCAGTAAAATCAAAGCAACTTCACTGAATTTAAACGTTGCATTTCAGGATAACCTAGGATGAAACTGTGCCAAATTAGAAACCCACACAAGAACCACAGTAGTTCCTGGCTGCTCTGCGAGGAAGCAGAATGTAAGATTCTTGCTTGAGTAGTTTCCTCTGCCTGCTCTGCTCTGGGAGAGCAGACACACAACACACAAAATTAAGTTTGAACCAGACCCAAACCCTGCTGCCCGTGTTCAGCCACGTCTGGTCGCACGCCACGGCCAGCCCAGGGGTCAGAGAGCCCACACACCATGGCACTGAGCCCAGACTAGGCTGCTTTTCCCCTCTCCTGCTGTAGCTCCAGAGCTTCCAGCTCAGAGCAGGATCATGGTTGGAACATGGGGCACAAGCAGAAGACTGCCCGGTCTGGGGTAAGGGTGCTCAGAGACAGCTCGGCTCTGACATAACCAGACATGGAAGGGTCTGTAGAGCCCTGTGTTGTACTTGATTCTTTGACTCAACCCTGCTGCTGTCGAAAGGGACAAGGAAAGATCTCCAGCTCTTTGGAGAGAATGAGACTGCACTAGTTTGAGAATGAATGCTTCGGTTTTCACCTATGGGCTATTTTTGCAAAATAAATTTATGTAGACATATACCAACTTGCTTGACAGTCTTTTTCAAAATGAAACCATCCTTTAGATGGAATTGAAAAAGTAATCTTCCCTCTCCATCTGTTTCATCCATGTTGAAAACACAGATCATGGGCCTCCTTTGTTTCAAAAGAAAAGAAGAACATCCTGACATTTTTTCTAGCTGCATCATTCCCTCCTACCCTTTAGGTGATCCTTTGTATTCCTGAGAGCTTCTTCCCTTTTTCCAATGGCCACCACACCTACCTGTGTGACAAGGTGACTTGCCATTTGCTGCTGTGGCTGTTGAACCTGCTGAGGCTGCTGGGATGAAGGCTGCTGCTGAGATTGTCCCACCATCTGGCTCCTTATCGTCTGCTGGCCACTGGGAGGATTGTATATTGCCGGCGTCCCATCAGGATTTACAAATGGTTGACCTGAAACGAAACACCCTGCCTTTGCAGAACATGTCTAAGAACACACTATTTTATGTATGAAATCACACAACCTTGCCCTAACTGATCGCTCTTTAGCTGACCTGCTACAACAGCAATGTGCTCATCACTCTCAACACCTCGCCACAGTTATCAGCCATCTCTTTCTTATTTTTGCAGGCAAGGCAGACAGCAGATATTTGTTTTGGCAGTATGACTTTCCAAGGAACAGGCAAGAAGGTTACCATGGCTATAAGATGATTCAGGTGCTATGGTTACTTGAATTAATTCAATGATGAATCAATTAATACTAAATTGAACTCTGGAGTAAACACTGGAGGTAGAGAATATTCATGTACGTTTTATTGCCATGCAATAGCAATCAAATGTAGACAACTACTGCTGACACTCTGCAGTTTGTATGGAAAGGAAAAAAAAAACAGAACAAACTCACCCTTGTTCCTAATTTATTTATGCATTTTAATAACACAGTGCTGTATTTTTGAGAGCTGTGCCCTATGTAATTAGAGGCGGCAACACTGGAAGTTACCAAGGAAGAAACACTTAAGATGTCTTTGAAAATGTCTTCTAGGCAGGACTAATTCTGTCCAAGTTGCTGAACTCTCTTTGCTTCAGATATTTTAGCTGGGGGCAGTAACCTTGTGAAAGCAATGTTTGTTTAAAAAAAAAAAAAATTAAAAAATTTACCCAAGTCATTTTCTTACAAACAAAAAAGAAATTGTATTTCTCTGTAAAATAGGGAAAATGTTTTCTGTGACCTCAGCTCTACTTTCACTTCCATCATAAATTCATAAAACAAAGGAATTACAGATATTTCTGTGAGAAAAAAAGGAATTTTAGCAATGAAGTGATAAGTTAAAGTAGGTAACTAAAGTATGAGTACCTGAGATAAAAAGGGAGATCTGGAGGAATTTGTTGACCGAGAGCAGTAGTGAAATAATGAATTCTGATTTGTACACCACAAATGTCTCTACCTGTTCTATCCACTCCTCAGCCCTCCAGTTCCTCCCTCCTATCAATCATGGTCAGAAATGTATGAGGAGCACCAGATGAAGAAATCTTGCCTTCTCTGTCTAAAACATTAAGACCTTCTGGATGGAGTCACATATTATACTGGGCGTGCCTCACACTCCCAGTGAGTCAGGTCATGATTAGATTGAGCGGAAGAGAAGCATGGGGCAGTTCTGTCCACTAGCTGATTTCCCGCTTCTTGCCATGAACATGCTGGGTGACGAAGGTCTAGACTCCCTAGTTTTGGAAGTCCCGGGCTCCAGAAGTATTTTAAGGAGACTGGGGAAGTCAGACTGGGTAAGTAGGATGACAGGCTCCTGATGCCAGTGCCAGATGCTCAAGGAAAGCCATAAAGAGCATTTCCCGTGACTCAGCAAAGGATGACAGAACTGAAAGGTCCAGCAATGCTTTTAAAGATGAAAAAGACGACCTTTCCTGAAGAAATCTTGAAATAAAAAATGAAAAGAAGAGATCAGATGGTAACATGGAAGACATTTGTAAGTTATGAACTGTGGTCCCGACAGAAGGGCAAAAATTGCGATGTCATTTAAAGGAGTAAGAACAAAATATAAATGCTCATCAATTGTCAAAGGGGTTAAGTCAGAGAACTTGTCAAGAGAAATCCTTTAAAGGGTAAAACAGACTGGTGAAGCGGGTGAAATGGAGAGTAAAAAAGCATAGCCACATACCTGGTCCTTTCCCAAAGCAAGTGAGAAGCTTCTCTACCTGGGGAAGGAGAAGGAACAAAGGAAACTGTGGCTGCGGAAAAGAATGTGGACTGCCAACACCTGAGAAGGAGCTGGGAGGTATAATCAGAGCAGGGAGATACTGACAGCATCTGTGGATGTCATTAGAGGCTTACACAGTCAGTGACTATGTAGTGTGAAAGGAAGTAAAGATCTTTAAAGGACATGGTGTTATGATCAAAAGAGAGAAAAAGATTGGAAGTAGCCACTCTGCCAGAGGAGAAGAAAGAGCTAAAGAATGGTGTTA